GAATCAATGATGTATTTTGTATTACACTGAGATATCATCTCAATATTTGATCCTTCACTTTAGCCTGTGGTTACCAGGCCATCTCAAACATCAATGAAGGCTCCACAGAGCCTGACGATGGAGTATTCAGTGGACTCTTCTGTTCAACAGTTCAATGTTGTGAGTATTAATTTCTAGCTATAACTCAAACAGCTGTGAGCATCATGACCCTGGTTATATTCAAACCCATTCTGTTCCTCCACCTCCCAAACTCTGTCACTCTTTCAGACAGACTCATGTCCACAGTTTTGTGCATACATTGAAACATGTTTATTATGATTCTATTAATGCAGACGTTTGTTTTTTAAGATAACTGACAGGCTCTTCGACATGATGAACAGCCGCAATCCCCATGCTTGTTTTCTTTTATTTACCAGAGCGTATTTTGTCTTTATGGTGATGCATTAAGGTATTTGTTTTCGTCACGATAAATCATTAGGTAATTTCATAGTTTATTATAATGAGTTAAAATATGCAGTTGCACAGTGTTATAACCATTTTATATCGGTGTTTCGGAATTTATTGTTTGTATCTCATGTTCTATTATTTCATAATGTTTTGAGAGTACCACAAAAGAAGACAACCGAAAAAAAAAGAAGAAGAGAGAAGAGGCGCAAAGCGGGCGAAGGAGAATGGAACAAGGCACGGCAATGGCCGCAGAGGGCGCGTGTCTGTGAAATATTCAAAACATAAAGAAAGTGCTCAGATTCGGTCCTCAACAAACCTGGACAATTGTTCCTGCTCCGACGGACCGCAGAAGAGTTCGGGAAAAGCTCACGCTGCAAGGGAGTGAGTGAAACTGTGTTGTCAAAAGACAAAGCTGAGAAGGTTGAGCTGAGCTAACGCCAAAGCTAGCGCTGTAGTATATGTGGAGATTACTCAGCCGAGAGCCATAGGGAAGCTGACGGTGTTGCTGCCGGAGACTCAACACTCGCCTGCGTGGGACGACGACAGGACCATGGGGTTTCCGGGTGCGGACAGTCTGTGTTCTTGGGCTGGTAAGGAGGAGTTTCATCACACTAGTAGGATTATTGCATTGGATTTGAATGAACACGAGCTCCAACGCGCGCCAACGCAAGCTAGCATAAGACCCTACGAGTGCACTCAGGTTGACTGTGGGGTTGAAATATTATTTGTTGCTCGACCTGCATAAAACTGTGACCTGTGTTTTGTTTCTTTTAGTTAATACACAAAGTTAAACTGCATTCGGTGTGTGTTTTTCATTTATATAATGTGAAACAGTCTCTGGAAAAATCATTCGTAAGTTACAGGTAACAGATGTACATATTCTGGTTAATTAATAATGAACACGAGCTCCAACGCGCGCCAACGCAAGCTAGCATAAGACCCTACGAGTGCACTCAGGTTGACTGTGGGGTTGAAATATTATTTGTTGCTCGACCTGCATAAAACTGTGACCTGTGTTTTGTTTCTTTTAGTTAATACACAAAGTTAAACTGCATTCGGTGTGTGTTTTTCATTTATATAATGTGAAACAGTCTCTGGAAAAATCATTCGTAAGTTACAGGTAACAGATGTACATATTCTGGTTAATTAATATCATTTCTGGGGTCTCTATAATTGGTGTTTTAAAGGTGAGAACCATACTGAACCCTAGACAAAGTTGCTATAAATTGGAATGTCCCTTTGCCAATTTGTGTTATTTGAGCTTGAAAGGGTCTAGTCACTCCCTTGCTACAACGAGCCGGGTGGCAAAAGGGTTACATCTATGTCTGTGTTTACACGATTTCCTATTTCTGTTATAATATTGCTTTTTGTTTTTCTGGAGGTATGATATTATGACAAAACATTTCCTTGTGAAAGGTACCTATCTGTCATGGGATTCATCATCAACACTGACACCCTGATGTTGATTCCAGAACTGCTTCAACGTCAGCGGTACGTTTGCACCTACTGCTGCAGCCAAGATCACTTGCTCCTCTTCAATTCAATCAGGGCATCAGGTTGGGATTTGAGTTTTGTTTTTTTACCATGTGGTTTATATATATGTATACATGTTCCACACTATTTTTGGCCTTTCAGATAATATTCTTCTCTTTTTAATTAAAAAAAAGACTGCCAGTCTCAAAATGGCATATACAGTGCTGCTTGAAATTTTGTGATCAATTTTATTATTTCTGCATAAATGTGACCTAAGACTACACATATAAAAGTGGTGTGTATGATTTAGGGGGCTGGAATAACAACCCTTCAGCAGGCCACTTCCAGGCTATTTTCCGCCGTCTGATTGTGTGGTGTGTCTACAAGTACATCAGGAAATGTGGTAGGGTTTGTTGTTCGCCAAGTTCTGAAATGCCTATCTTGTGATATGTGCCATGGTAGTTTAGTGAGTGATGCCATACCTCCATCATTTGATCAGAGCTACCACTTGCTCACACTAAAGAACAAAGGAGTGCTGATGATTCCTTCTGAGGGCACAGTAAAGGTGGTTAGGTCAGCTGAGCGTCAACATCACGACAAGCCGTCAAAGTGGGTGGCCTTGATCAGTCAGTTTGTCTGAGACTGGTTCAGAGGATGTCTTTTTTCTTGGGGGGCACATTCAGGAAACACAGTTTGGAATTGACAACCACCATTTTGTGATGATGTCACTGGTTGTGTCTGCCTTCCACAAACTGAGGCTGCACCACATTGCCAAACTGAACACTCTTCAGTTACAGGGTGGCAACACATGAAAACTGTGCAAAACGGTTCTTTTTAATGGGTTTTAGCTCACACACAGTAGCTGTATGAATGTGTGTATGGATGGATGTAGACATATAATGTTCTTCATTATATATACAGCTGTATAAATGTAAATATGTGTCTACTCATGTGGTAATGTTTTAAATAAAAATATAGTCTATACCTGCTCTGTGTAAAAGCCATCCAATTATGGTCTTTTTTTTATTTGCAGACTTTATTCTATTTCTCATTACACTACTAGTTAAAAATCACTGGACATAAAAACAATTAATCAAAATTTGTTAACTGTAATCGTCAGTGCCTTAATTCCCATAGACACATCTACATTTCAGGAACTGGTAACAGCATTACAAAAATTGGTAGCTGTAAACACTAATGAAAACATCAGAAAAGTACATATGTCGGTTTGGTTCCTACCTTTGTGCTAAATATATAAGGAGTAGTTAACATTTATAATCATCAGACAATGTGGCACATGTTGGTTTTGGTTCCTAAACATATTTATGCGTGTGTGAATGGGTAAATGTCAGGAAATGATTTATAATACGTTGTAGAAATGTGTTTTAAATGTGTTTTATAAAGTTCAGTCCATTCACTTGTATTGTATCACGGTGCAGAACGCCACTTCCAATATGGCGCCTACGTTGACGTGTCGTAGCAGCGGGCCAACCCGCTCAACGCGGCGTCTATGTATATTATGTCTATGGTTATACCTGTTTATTATCGGACTTTCATTGCTGCAACCAAATGCAGGCTACTCAGTCACTGTCACTCACCATACACACCTCGCACGCTCTCACACACACGCACATGTGGAACAAATAGTTAAATCTGCTATAACTATTCACACTACAGAGTAAAGCCACACACAACATAGCTATAAGATGTCAGATGAAGACCTTAGTGGCTCGTTGTTCTATATATACAACCTGTCTGTGTTTAGCGTGTTTTTCAGCAGCTTTTCCACAAATGAACTACATTATGTGAAGAGGGAGGGGCTGAAGCGTCGACCCTGGAAAGAGGCGTTGCATAACACTGTCAAAAACGAAATCATTCGGTCTTTTTTTGAACACATAGGCTATTGTCTACTACAATAAACTCAATCTTAGCACATTTTTTCTTTGCCGATGTCATGACGCTAAATTAGCGCGAACAGTAACCTGTACAAACCGCAGTATCCTCTGTATCCTGTGCCTCTTACATATGAACATGAAGCAATGTTATACCTGACTAGAACTCCGTTACTGACGTTCAATTAGACTGTAGCTCACTCACCCATAGGCATCGCTAAAATCAAATCCACATGGAGACAAAGTCCTCTTCTTTCTTTCTGGGCCAAGTGCTAACCATGTCTTCAACATAGGGCCACAAACACCGCCCATAACGTAAAAAAAAAAATGCAGCCAATGATATTCATTCGAAGGCGGGAATGGTAAGAGCCCCTGGCCTCTGATTGTATAATACTACCTGGAGCAACCATCACCTGACCTATTCGCCAATGGTTCTCTTGGTTTACTCAGTGATAATAAATGGCAACGCTGCAAAGTTTCTACCGTTATCTTTCTTTGGATGTTCATAGTGACTTTGTCATCTTACCGTTTTATAAATATTCCATAAGTTACGATAATACCAGTGGTTATACATAAAAAAATTAGCTGTCTACAATGATTATTTGCAGTGTTGCCAACTTGGCGACTTTCTCGCTAAATCTGGCGACTTTCCAAATCCTCTTGGCGACTTTTTTTGTCAAAAGCGACTAGTGACAAATCTAGCGACTTTCTCTGGTGTTACTGGAGACTTTTCTGGTGTTTTGGAGACTGACGTGAAAGCACGTATTACTATGTATTTACTGTCCTCAACGAGCAGCGGGTGCTGCCGTGAGCCCCTCCTCCGTCCCAAAGCTCTCACAGTAGCCTCGCTCGCGCAGCAGTTCCAGCTGCAGTCAGAGCAGAGAGGAGACCCACACCACCGCACTGCATCCAGACTGCTAATGAATCGCGCATGCGCAAAGCCTGAGCCCAGATAAAGGACGAGGGTGAATTGATTAAATTTGATATTCGAACATTTGCCAATACAGGACAAAATTGATTTATGTAATGTGGGTCTAGACAAAGCAGTAAAGTCATGAAGTTATTTTGAGAAGTGATGGCCTATTTCAGTGGCAAAATATAAAACAAGCAAACCAAGAATCTACTGAAGAAAGTTCATTTGTAGTACTAAACATATTTAGGGTGTTTTTACTCACTTTTTGTCTCTCCTATGACGTTATTCCTCTCTCCTACAGCGTCCATTACAATTACAAGCAAATGGAATGTTATGCAAATTAGGCAATGGCATCATTTAGCGACTTCTAGCGACATTTAGGACAGCCAATAGCTACTTTCCTTACTGAGGAGTTGGAAACACTGATTATTTGAGGCTCACAGCAAAGAAATCAGCCACATGTATGGGTGTGTGTTGTTAAAACAACAGTATTATCAATAGCAAAACCATATAACAATTATGTCACCCTTTAATTCTGAATACCCACTTGATGAAAAGAAACATATTTGGACAGAAGTATTAGAGACTTACACTAATCATATAACCACTTTATTGGTCTCTGGTGGTGTACTAAGGACTGTAACTGGTGGGTATAGGCTATCACTTCAGGGTGTCGAGTCGAAAGTTCACAAGCCACACAGCAGCATGTAAAGTACTTCATATAATAAGCATATAAGATGGTTAAAACCAGCTCCAGCCTAAAATGTGATCTATTGTACACAATAATGCATCAGCAATTATAATTCAATAATATCATATACATTAACATGAAATGGGCCATTCGGCATTATGAGTACTTTTACCTTTAGTACTTTAAGTATGTTTTTATCCTAATACTTTGTACCTTTACTTAAGTCATGTTTTGAATACAGGACTTTTACTTGTAACAGAATATTTTTAGAATGCGGTATTGCTACTTAAGTAAGGAATCTGAGTACTTCTTCCACCACTGAGCATAATCTCCAATACATTCATAGAAATACATAATGCTATTTCAGAAATGTTCACAGGAAATTTTAGGCCTTGTAACATGTAACTTTACCAGGAAAAAGACTCATTTTGGGCCTAATATGATTCTAGCATCACAGACAGAATGATGAGAATTCTCTACTCTCTAAATCAAAATGAAAACAAAACCTAATGACATTAAAGTCATATTTTATTTTTCTACTAGAGAAATGCATTTCCTGTCGAAAATGCGTGTGGATGCTGTGATGCTGAAGGATTGCCCTGAAAATGCCTGAAACAGCTGAAGGATGATTAGAAATTGCTGAATTTCTTTGTTAAAATAGTTGAGAAGAAATGGCTGAAGTTCTTTGTTGAATAATCTGAAGGACGAGATGCAATAAATACAAGCAGGAACGTCGTTGAAGAGTTGAACATTTTGATAGCTGAAATAGCTGAAGTTGAATTTCCCCATTCATTTGAATGGGGCAGAATTTTCAGAATAAAGCTAAATAGCCTCAACACTGACAAGACGAAGGAGATGATAGTGGACATGAGGAAGGAGAGGAGATCGCAACAGCCACTGTTCATCCAGGGGCTCGAAGTGGAGAGGGTGAGCAGCTTCAAATACCTGGGCATTCACATCAGTGAGGACCTCACTTGGACACTTAACACCACACAGCTGGTCAAGAAGGCCCAACGGTGGCTGTACTTCCTGAGGAGGTTTGGCATGTCACCTAGGATCCTTTGCAATGTCTACAGCTGCATCATTGAGAGCATCTTGACCAGCTGCATCACTGTCTGGTATGGCAGCACTACTGCTATGGACCGCAAGCGCCTGCAGAGAGTGGTAAAGACTGTCGAGAAGATCACCATCACTGTTCTCTCTGCTGAGCATTTACCACCGCAAGGTGTGTTGGAAGGCTGCCTCCATCGTCAAAGATCCCACACACCCCCAGCACGGACTGCTCAATTCTCTGCCCTCTGGCTGGAGGTTCAGAAGTGTGAAATGCAGGACCACTAGACTGAAAAATTCGTTCTTTCCCTCTGCCATCAGACTCCTAAACAGCTGAGGAGTTCATTACCAGGAAATACGTGATGTACTGTTTACATTCTCAGTTTGCAGATGCATAATTGCACAATGACTGTTGACTGCTGCAAATGCTGCTCCCATGCAGCATACATTTATTATATATTTTTTATTATATTGCTGCATCTGTTGCTGCTTAAAGTGCCTTAGATTTTGTGTTACTTATTTATCTACTTTATATTTCATTTGTGTTTTGTGGCATTCATGTGGACAGCAAAGTAAGAATTTCATTGTACAGGGAAACACGTTTCCTAACTTTGCATATGACAAAATAAACAACTTTGAACTTTGACATATTTCAAAAGTATGAAGTTTAGAAAAAATCTGCATAGAAGCATGAATGTCCTCAAAGAGCTGAACATTTTGATACCTGAAATAGCTTAAAGTATGCTGAGTGTAGAATTTCCTCATGCATTTGAATGAGGCACGATAAAATTCTTATGAGAAGAATGAATGTCCTTGAAGAGCTGAACATTTTGATACCTGAATGGCTTTTGTAGCTGAAACTATGCTGAACTTATTAAGATGTGAAAATTTTCCCATTGGTCCTTGAGCACTATTATGTGCATTATTTTTGACTTTTTGTTCATACCTCTATTTAACCTGGCTGCATTATTGCTCAATATGCACAAATGAGCAATAGTAGTGTTTGAAGTTATGCATTTCAGGTATAGCAGTCA